TTAGAATAAATGTAGAACACTTACACCAGGGTTACGGTTATTAAGAATGCGCCCGACCTTAAAGGCACACTCCGGGATTAGGCACGCTTAACATTTCCATCCGCAATCGTAGTGAACAGGCAAACAAGCGTTGATATACAAATGCGCTGCAAGTTGACTATACCCGCAATCCACACCTTCGTCCACAAGCCCCGCCTACGCTGTCGGCTGCCATGTGACGCTACAAGAAGAGCACGCCGCGCTTGCGGCAGCAGTTGCATTGCTGTTCGATGTCATTGGAATTGGAACAGCTAGAGCTTGCTTTGAACTCGTCCAAACCCCACTTCTCCATCCCAAGGTGGAATACGGTGAAATAGAGCATTTCCTTATCCAGGCCGTAGTCGGGGTATTCCTGCTTTCTTTGTCCTCTTTGAACCACTCCCCACTTTCAGCTTCACTACAGAACGCTTTTGCACATCTATTTTATCCCAGGGCTTGCCTTTAAGGGCTGTGATTATGATTACTGGAGGGCGTTGTTTGATGACGTCGTTGAATGTCACTGATTGAGAGGAGAGATGTAGTTTCAACCGCACCCTCAGTGCGCTGAGAGGTTTTGTCCATCAATGATTCCCTTTGGTACACTCCCTTGCATGGGAATCACTCGACAAGGGCGCTAGAGCTTTAGATGAAGTAGATGAAAGACGTTGACAATAACTCGGTTTTAGTTTCAATAAGTCCCAAGTAATCTTCTGTATTGGTAGGGGGTAGGTGTGGCTTTTCAGGGCTATGCAGTAGAGAGGTCAACACACCCACGTGTGCGCGACTTCGCGCACACGTGGGTGTGTTGCGTGAGCGGCAGTTGCTTCGAAGTCGAAGTTTACGGTAACATAGTAAAAAAAATCAAAAATCAAAGTAAAGCTGGTAAATGATGCAGATATGTAGGAAAAAAACAGGAAATATGGCCTAAAACCCGAGGAATGGGATCCTTTTGCCCGTTGATTTCCGTGTTGGAGCGAGTCTCATCGGTGCCGACGTTACCAGTGCGAGCGCCCTGCTCTGTGGCTCAGCTAAACCGTAGGGTCCGCGGCTGGAGTCCGACGGCAAGGGGTTGGCCCGTTAGTGGGTGGGCAGAGGCGCGAGCGGCGCGGTCCGCTAAGGGTGTACCCTTCGATGCAAAAAACGGGTCCTCCAGCACAATCAGGGGCTCGCCTGCCTTTCGACTGTGTTTCCCTTTCTTGAACCTCCGACATCATGTGGAATCCTTCTTTGAGACGACTGCCCAGTGAGTGGAGCGTTAGAGACGTAGAAATAGCGAGGTCGCATACACCCATACCAAAAAGCGTAGGGGTATGTTGAATGCTCTCATGGAAAGTCTGAAAGCGCGGGATATTGCGCGACGAACTCTAGCTACACATGTTTTCGCAGTACATCAGCCTAGCGATCACTGAAAAGCTCTCAGAGGCCTAAGTGCAGGTGAAGAGTGGAATTTTACTTCACTACTATTTGTTCTAACTGCTCCAGTTTCTTCGAGCTGTGACTGAGACACAATTTATATTTATTAGTGAATAGGACAGTGTACAGCACTCAATATTTCCACGCACTGAGGCATTCGTCATGCCACTCCTGCATTCGACTTTTTCGGCCTCTTAGCAATATGATCTTCAAGTGGCTTATTCTTCGTTTCGGATAACACAACCTGAAAAAGATGAACGGATAGTGTTTGAGAAGTATGTTTTCAATTTCTTTTCCTACGTGAACCTGAATTTTGTAGACATTGAGCACTACTGCTCTCAGGAGGGTCAGAAAATACAAAATGCGGTGAGAATGTAGTTCGGGGGTAGGGGGGACGACTCATGATATCTATTCGAAGTGACAACATCTAATCAAAGTGGAGGTGATAATGGTAACAGGTGCCACCGTCTCGGTGAAAGGTATGATGATAACGTTTCTATGAGTGCCTTTTCGCACTACTTTGATTAGATATGATTGACCCCCCCAAACTACATTTTCACCTCTACAGGTGGTCTTAGAAAACAATTTTCGACACTCATGTGGTTGCAATAGAGCAAAGTGCCTGACTGTTTTACGCCATCAAACGTGTCGCAATTGCAGACTCGCTGACGCGGCATGCAGAAAAATCGGCATCCGCCTGCTTTCGCTGTTGCTGGTGCTATCTGGTCTCCGGACATCTGTCAACCGTGAGGCTAGGCAATTCAGCGTTTTGTTGTGCTGTCTGGGAGCTCTCACACAAGCGCACTATTACAGAATCTCCGCTTTCTTTACCTCCTTCAAAAGGCTTAGTCCCACTACCACAAAGAACGTCTGCTTTTCCTTCTACACTCTCACCCTGGTTGACAGAAGTCCTTGTAACCATGCTATCTGATCGATGTCGCGTGTCTGCAATACGACGAACGACCGGCCGCGGCAGATAGTTTATCTTATCGCGCCGGGGGAGCAACATGGGGTGCCGACAGAGAGGACCCGTCGCGATTCCGCCGGCAAAACGAGATACGGGGTGACACCAGAATTTCTATTTCATTTCGCAGCACGTTTTCGTCAGCACCGAATTAGTCAAATAAACCTGTTTATCATTCTTGCACTCATGCTTGTCTTCAGGATGAACAGTAAACGTGGAATCATATGCGATAACCCTCACCTCAAATAAGATCACATCCATTACGGTAACAACGATCATGAATGTGTAGGGTAAGTAGTGCCATATTTCTTCCTGAAAGAACCTAATTGAGTGCACAAGGTCATCGAAAGAAGGAACAGATGTAGGCGTAAATGAACTCCTATGGACAAACTAAAACAGAACACCTGCTGGATTTCATTGAAGGGCTTGGAGGAACAACGAAAACTGAGAGCAGCAAATGAAGGAGCGGGAGAAAGGGAACGTACCCATGAGAACACGTGGGGAGCAACGACGATTCCTAATCGGCTGCATAGCTGTACAAATGAGTAACACAAGGTTCGGACCGAAGTGGGGAACAGTTCGTACAATCGTGACGAACGGACGATTACGAATCGTTGGAAGCGAATGTTGCCTTGACGACTTAAAAGCAATCAAAGGTGGGAAAATGGACGTTTCCGCCCGAAGGGTTACCTGTGATGCCATAGCGCACACTATGAGAACGCACACTCTCACAACTCCACCGTATTCTGCTCCATAGCCTGAAATGATCGCACATGTCTGTTTCCGGAAACCAGACGTGCTCGTTGAGCTGCAGACCATCACACCACAAGTGAAACGAAGAACTTCTGCAAACTGTAATTTGAGCTGCGCAGTGAAATAGACCGGCCCTGTTTGCCAGTTGTACTGTTTCAGTTGTCACCTAATATTACAACTCCCATTTAAACAAAGTCAGCTATCACTATGAATCACTAGTAACAATGCACTCCGCGAGGCCCGGTCCCCACTTATGATTGTGATGATTTTGCACTCGAAACGCTTCTCATTTTCTGACGCAGAAAAAGCTTTGAGTAGCAGGTCATTCAACTCACCACTGTAGAAGATCGCTGTTGAAATTAGCAACGATGCGAGCACGAGCAGTTGACAAGCGGTGTGAGCTCGTTTACGTCCGAACCACAAAAATTTGTAGTCGAGGAGACCACATGTGAGATTTGACGAGTACCGTAATGAACCGACGAGAATCGAGTTCAGAATAGATCGACCCGGACAGACTTCCCAGGTTGAACATATTCGCATAATTCACCACCATACTGGCGAAGCTGAAGAGAATTTCTGGTTGAAAGTAGTTGCTCAGCGAAAATTTGATTAGGACTCAATGACACTGTCCAAGAATTCAAAAATGGAATACGAGCTTGAAACTCACAAGCTGAATGCTATAATACACAATGGAAGCGCAAGATGAGCTTTCCTGAAGACATGCCAGTACGTGTGCCGTTTCTTTCCCCTGACTATGAACTGCTGAAATATAACGTCTTATTGAACGTGAATATACTAAGTGAGCACCTTCTAGGACTTTAGTCCGTTTTACTGTTCAGCTGGTAAAAGAAATGTAGTTTGCTGAGAGATCAGCCTCTGGGAGCAGCAGATCGGCTCCAATCTGCATCACCGAGGCTCTCCATGATTTCGTGGATTGGTTTTGCGAATCTTGAGAGGAGTTCAACAACACTAGCAAGCATCAATAAGTTGAGGACTAACGGGGAGTTGGAGAGTTCATTTGCCGTCCTCAAATTCCCACTCCGTTTGCCTTATTTTGATGGTTTCTTATGCCGCCAAGTTTTTGAGGCGGAACTGATTAACTGGGCGGCGCTGCTTCGCTCTTCTTTTGTGAGCTGGACCTTTGAAGAGAACGAACTCGTCGAATCGCTGGACCGTTAAATGAAGTTTCCACTTACATAAGGCCTCTACAGCACAAGATACGCATCAAAATAAAGACAAGCAGCGACTGATTCTCCTAGCGAATAAGAATTTTTGAATTGGTTCGTTACGGTTAGGTCAATTCTTTGGCCAGGTAGCTGCAAACGCTTAAAGGCAAGATTCGGGATAAAATAGGTGTGGAAAAGCGTTCAGTTATGAAGCTAGAGGTGGGAGGTGGTCTGGAAAAGAGAAGGAAAGCAAACGAAACCACCGATTACGCCCCGTACAGAGACCTCCCCTATTTCAGCCACATTCCACCTTGGGATAGAGAAGAGGCGCGTTGGACGAGTTTCACGAATCCTAACTCTAGTT